TGTGAAAGACTTCGGTTATCTCCTCTCTTGTTTCCAGAAGTAGCTTCTTTACCCTGATTTGGAATCTTGCTGTCTTCCTTAGTGTTTTGGAAACAAAATGTGCAGCAGGAGAATTCTGGCTTTGTGGATATTGGATCACTTTGTTCCCTGGCACAACAATCTCTCCTTTGTATTAAACATCTGAGAGGAGAAGTCCTAAATAACATTTTTATATTCCTTGTTGATGGAAGTTCTTTATTTGGGGACAGCAGTTTGGTACTTGTTCCTCTGTCAAATTCTGATGTACTTTCCCCTTTTCCCGTGACGAGGATGCCACTGACCCCTGGCCTGGAATTTTACTTTGGGTAGTGGTGCTATTTGCTTTCCCCTGTGGGACTTTCCTGTTGAGTCCCTCAAGTCTGCAGCGAGTGGTCTGTGTCATAGTGGGATGTCTGACTGGTTGGAGAAAAGGTGCCCAATCCTCTAGCCTGACCATGAGCTGGGTGGTGAACTAACCAGCCACAAATAAGCCAGATGGGCAGACAGACCAAAATAGCCACTTGTCCACCTCCTTCCTGGAAATGCAGAAGGGCTGCTCCAGAGGCCCAAGAAGACCTAATTTGGTCAGCAACCCAGCACTTACTTTGAACAGGAGGTGGTATGAGTTCCCTACCTCCGATTCTTTTCTTTTACCACCCACATGGGCACGTCTCGGGGAGATGATCAGCCACACTAGCAACTACTGATTGGTAACAAATGCCCTTTACATCAAAGCTCTTCTGATGATTTTCCTGGATTCTGTACTTGTACAATGAATGTACTTGTACCTTTACTCCAAAGAAAATTAGTATATGTGGTCGGGCACAGCGGCTTATGCCTGTCATCCCAGCACTTTGGGAGGCCAAGGTGGGTGGATCTCTTGAAGCCAGGAGTTCAAGACCAGCCTGGACAACATGGTGAAACCCCATCTGTACTAAAAATACAAAAAAATTATCTGGGCACAGTGGCTCATGCCTAGAATCCCAGCACTTTGGGAGCCTGAGGTGGGCAGATCACTTGTGGTCAGGAGTTTGAGACCAACCCGGCCAACGTGGTGAAACCCTGTCTTTACTAAAAATACAAAAATTAGCTGGACGTGGTGGCAGGCGCCTATAGTGCCATTTACTTGGGAGGCTGAGGCAAGAGAATTGCTTGAAGCAGGGAGGTGGAGCTTGCAGTGACCTGGGATCATGCCACTACACTCCAGAGCGAGATTCTGTCTCAAAAAAAAGAAAAAATAATAAAGAAAATTAATATATGTGTTTTAATCTTTAGACAAACCCAATATTATACAAATTCAGTTTTATAAGACAGGTTAGGACATTTTGTTTTTCAGAAAACATATCACCACATTTCTTAAATGCCATAAGTGGTATAACATAAATATGATTCATCCCCTAAGACTGTTTTTATTTCTGTGTGTTTCAAAGCTCTCCCTTTTTCTTGTTCATTCAACAATTCTACACTGGGTTGTCTTTAAGAGGCAAGGCTGCCCTGCACGGCTGTCTTGCAGCTCATGAAATGAGCAGTTGGCTCTGGTGTCTTATCACTTTGGGTCAGAGATGTATTTCTTGCTCCTTACCCCTTCAGTGAATATCTAGTTCATGCTTTCCGTGGATCAAGCATCGTGCTGGTCTTCTCCCTGTCTGCCTTGTTCCCGGTGGGAGCAGTTGGAACAATGCTGCTGACTTCTCCCTCCAGGAAAGGAAGGGGCAGTGTTTCATGTCACTCACAACCAAGCAGCTAGTTCTTGGCTCTTGGAAAACTGGTTCGCCAAAGGGAAGCAATGCTGAGCCTGAGGCCCTGGGATGGGTTGGATTCTTTTCTGAGTGGAATCACATTCTACTCCTCCCACTTAACCTTTCCTTGCAAACTCAAATGGGAAAATCACTCTATGGACAAAGTCAAGTGGAAATAAAAAATACCCTCTCTGAGGCAGCCTGGCAGTACCTGCATGAATCAGCCAGTGTTTGGATAAGAAGCAGCCCCTTGAGGAGGAATGGAGCCCTTCTCTGGACCTTAATTGATTTTTGTATTTGTTCTTCTTCTTTTAATTCTTTGTGGAAAAGTGATTTGTACGGCAAAGTGGCTTTCATGTGTTGTGGGTGCTGTTTTATGTAATACTGTTCTTATCTAAAGATCATTTCTGCTTGTTTTGCCCTATTTTTTTTTTGGATCCAGCTCATGTTTGTTTTTCTTTTTCATTTTATTTCTTCTTTTTGAAGGAGTTATTGTTCCTCTCATTTCTCCCACTTCATCTACTCCCATTCTCTGCCAGGGGAATAGGAGAAGACATGGGCCACTTTGTCCATTTTTTTTTTTTCATTTTTAAAATCAATTGGCCAGATATCACCTTTCTCTTGTGAGATTGTTTCACAACACAGAGCCTCATTGGTAACGAACCTGACCCTTAAGAAGTTGGGTCATGTTTATTCCTCAGGATTAAGGCACCATCCTGGCCTGGTTGGCCATCGTCTGCTCCTGCTGACCAGGGCGTGCAGGGCACATGGACAGGGTAGCTCCTTGCAGCGGTACCTTGCTGTTAGAAAAAGTTCTATGGACCAGTAGCTACTAAGATCTTTTTTGATAAAAGGAGGTCTTGAAGACTTCAATCATGAGCCTCAAATAATTTCCATAATAAATCCAGAACTTGGAGATCCAAAGGATATTGCCATGCTTTTGGTTATGTTGCTAGGGAACTCTGCCTCCATCTTCAAATGATACATTGCTGTGTGTGTGTGTGTGTCTGTATGTGTGTGTATACGTGTGCGTGCATCTCTGTGTGTGTACGTACGTGTGCGCACATCTGTGTGTGTCTGTGTGTACGTGTGTGTGCATCTGTGTGTGTGTCTGTGTGTGTACGTGTGCGTGCATCTGTGTGTCTGTGTTTGTGTACGTGTGCGTGCATCTGTGTGTGTGTCTGTGTGTGTACGTGTGCGTGCATCTGTGTGTCTCTGTGTGTACGTGTGCATGCATCTGTGTGTGTGTGTCTGTGTGTGTGTACGTGGGCGTGCATCTGTGTGTATGTATGGAATGAGAAAAATTAGGTATTTCATGTGTATGCATTGTAGTGAAGGCTACAGCATCGTTAGACTTTTCTTCTGGGTATCATACCTCGAACTACAGAATTTGTTTACAGCACTGTTCATGTGACCAAGAAAAAAAAAGGCAGATGGAAAGTAGCCAGGCGTGTTCAAAACACAACTAATAGATCAGGTTTCTGGAACATCTGAGTCTAAGGGTTTGGTCTTCTTCACAATATGTTGAAAGGTGATGTTTTAAAAGCAGAAAGGGAGAAAAGGCCAGCTCCGGAGAATGGCAGCTGAGACAATGAGAAAGCAGATGTGTGCAATTGAATGTAGTCAGCCTTAAATGGATCCACGCGCTCTTCCATATGAGGGGCCAGAAGGGAAAGTTCACAGAATAAAAATGGAGTCATCTTATTCTTTCTGTTCAATGTAGATTCCCACATGCAGTGAGTATTTGAATTGTGTCTTGCTTTCTCATTGGCATAATTCCCACCTGCCTTTGGAAGTCCATTCTGAGGTGACCTTGCCCCCTGCGATATGAAATGGGAAAACACTTGGCTGATTCTAGACGTCTGATAACCACGTAGGTGGGAAAGGTAACCACTGGGATGGCTGGAAGGTGTTACCCAGGGAAACTGAAGGCCAGGATGAAAATAAAAGCAAACGGTTTCCCCTTGGGCAATGACTGCAATCAGGATTCTGCTGCTGATAAAATGCTGCTCCTTTGTTCTGTTTCCTGTGTGTTCATCCATATGATAGCTGTTAGACCTTTCATTCAGCTTTCACCCACCTGGCACTACATCAGTGCCAACCAACGGCAAGGTGCTCCCCAGCTGCCGCGGGGAACCATGTACAAATAGACCTCAGCGAAGCCCGTGTGCATGCAAACTGTGTTTGCCTTTTGCATTCTGTTTTACTCTCGGGGCCGTGCTTGGGACACAAACGCGCTGTCCTGAATTCTTTCTGTGATGGGGGCTGGTGCCTTTGCACTAGGTCCCCACAGTCATCAATAGCCCTGTTCATGTGGGAGGTGACAGCAACATTTTGCCACATTACAGGCGGCAGGGCTCAATGTGAACATTCTTCTTAGAGTGAGCAAAGGGCATGGGACTTCTGATGGCCAGGGAAGTCACAGCCTGCACTGCAGAGCGAGGATCCTCCATCTGGGCTGTGGGGAGCAATTAGAATTTTTTTTTTATGGGTTCCATAAAATGCGATGAGCAAATGTTTGTGGCAAAGCTGTATTGTGAGGTTTTCTGATCATGTGTAACCTAATTACTAAAATATTTGCCTGGCATTGTTTTGCCTGTTTAATCTACAAAGGAAGCCGGTTACAAGCTCGCCACTGTTCTCTGTTTTCATTATAGTCGGTTCTTAATCATCCACGTCAATAGAGAAAATCACCGTCATTGATGATGCACACTTGTAAAGAGTCCAAAAATACTTCGTGTTTGATTTTGAGATGGAAGATGGTAGGCATGTGAGGATACACGTGCCCAGACGTTTAGGCTACTTTGAGGTCCAGGCCAATGCTCTCCCAGCTCAGTTCTGCTCCCCGAGAAGCCGGGGACCTCATCTGGGGATCTAGGTGGCCAGAGAACAAGTGGAGGAGGTGGCCATCAATCCTCAGAGTTTGTCATCCACTATGAAGAAAACTGGCCAGGTTTTGCTCTGATAACATCACATAGATATTTTATACTTTAAAAAAAAAAAGATCAGAGTGACACGTGTGTGGTTAAAAAGCCAAAATAACACGGAAGGCTTTTAATAAAAAATAACAGCCCTGCCTGCGTCCTGTCCTCCCTCGGTCCCACTTTCCAGAGGAAACACCTTTGAACCCTCCCAGCTTTGTTGAAAGTTCTTTGGGTGGTTACCTTCATGTCTTTAAATAATATATGCATGCCATTTGTACTAATTTTCCAGGGCTGCTATGACAAAATGCCATAAACTGAGTGGCTTAAAACAATAGAAATTTATTATCTCACAGTTCTGAGAGCTGGAAATCTGTAATCAAGGTGCCAGCAGAGCCACACTGGCTCTGAAGCCTCGGGGAGATCCTTCCCTGCCTCTTCCAGCTCTTGGCAGTGCCATTGGTCCTTGGCTTGCCCTCTGTGTCCCTCCTCACATGGTATTTTCCTCTGCCTATAAGGACACAGTCCTATCAGGTTAGAACCCACCCTAATGACCTCCTCTTAACTTGATTACATTTACAGAGACCCTGTTTCCAAGTTAAGTCACATTCATAGGTACTGGGGACTTGAACATGTCTTTTGAGGGGACATAAGTCAACCCATAACATCACTCTTTCTCAGTTTATAAACATTTGACTTCATTGCCTTCCTTTTATAGTCAATGGGGTTTCTCTCCCTGATTCAGCCTCGTCTGTGTCTTCCCCCAGACCTCTTCCCTTCATGCTCCATCCCTCCGCTTAGAGGACGTTGCTTAATTCTCAAACAAATTCTTGGAAACTTGATTTCTCATTCTGTTGACCATAGAGAGCATCACTTAATTGCCCATTTAAAAAATGAAAACATTCACTCCTTCAGCACCTGTCTTTCAACTCCTAGTCTCTGTCAGCTAAGGGCCAAGCTTGATGCCATCCGTGTTCTTTTCAGTTCCCTGAATGGTTAAATCGTCTGTCGTTTGTCCTCAGATGAAGAATGGATATTCGTCTACAGCTTCGATTGATAGGATCTGAAAGCCAAAAACCAATAAACAGTGTTTTCATTCCATGTTATCGTGACTCTGGTCTCCTGGATTATTATACCTTTGCATGCCCTCTGGGTTTTAATTAAAATACTTCATACCATTTGAAAAATGACAGCAACATTTCTGTTTGTATAGTACTTTAGGATCTACATTTCATTTCATTTTAGATGGCAGCATACTTTGCTTGCTCTGAATTGGGAAACTGTTCATTCATTTTTCTTGAGGTCCTTTGGCATTACATATTGAAATGAGGCTTTGTGTCTTATGAAATGTTTGACCACATGACACAGTAGCCACACACATCTCTCTACGAGTTTTTAGCAACAGGTGAGTCATTCTAAGGTAGCGCTAGCCACACTTTGGATTTTAGTGCTTTTCTTTTCTTTAAAACCGATACAGAGATGCTAACTTTTTATTTTGTTAGAATGGGAAATTAATAAATCAGCTATTATTTACCCTCACTGGTAAAATAAGAACATTTAACACCAAAAACAACATACTAAGGACATAACCTTGGAATAAGTTGCACAATTTTAAAAATTTTGAATGAATTTAACTTTCAAAGAACTCATTACTTTCCCTAATTTTTCCCATTTGCTGTAGACTGGTGAAAACATTCAGGATGGAGGTTGTCCTAGATCAAGCTTGTGTAGTGGCCATGTACCTGGTTCTAATAGGGTAGAGCATACTGTTAATGACTGCCTACTCTGTGGATGGTTACGTTGATTCTTTGGGACCTGATACGGAAGATGTGCAGGAGAAAGGGGCAGGCTTTGTGTGGAGTGGGAGGGTTGGAGTGCCCTATTTTGTGACCCCAAACTATAAATGGTCCTCCATATCCCTTACCATATACAACCGTACACTTGCCAGGTCCCTAGTCTAGGTCATTTGTAAGCTGAGCCAGCTCACAAATTCACGCCCAACATGTGCTGTGTTGAGCATGAATTTAAGTAGATACGGATCTGTCATCTTTATATATGTAGCCCTTGAGTAAGTCACACTTTCACTCTCTTAATTTATTTCCATAAAGTTGGCCAGGCATGGTGGCTCATGCCTGTAATCCCAGCACTTTGGGAGGCCGAGACGGGTGGAACACTAGAGGTCAGAAGTTCAAGACCAGCCTGGCCAACATGGTGAAACTCTCTCTACTAAAAATACAAAAATTGGCTGGGCATGGTTGTGCACACCTGAAGTCCCAGTTACTGGAGAGACTGAGGTAGAAGAATCTCTTGAACCCAGAAAGCAGAGGTTGCAGTGAGCTGAGATCATATCACTGAACTCCAGCCTGGGAGACAGAGTGAGACTTGGTCTCAAAATAATATTAATATTAATAATATTAATAATTTATTTCCATAAAGTTGTCTGCCCATATATATTTTACCAGTTTGAGGTAATAGAACTGTTAAAACTTAAGCATTCAACCAATACACAGTGACACCATTTTTCTAATCATCTCTGACTAAACTATGTCTAAAAATGGAATATGGTTGACTATATGTATCCCATCAACTATATCTGATTAATTAACTATCAGGCAAAATCCTTTCCTTAAAAAAAAAAAAAAGAGATTGGGAATAAGATTGGTTTATCACCATTACTAAGTGTCAGTCATACCCTTGCCACATTGAATTGAATTCAGTTTTCAGAATGTTAACACTTTAATAGGAAGTTTTATGAAATCTCTTCAGGTAAGAAGAAAATTAATTTCTTACTTTTTTTTGTTAAGAAATGTTTGTGTGTGTGTGTGTGTGCCTGCAACCAACCACTGGCAACTTTAATGATATAATATATAGCACCTTCCTAGGACCATGTGGTTTAAAACATGAATGAGGTACTCTTCACAACATCCCTGAAAGGCAGTTAGGTACTGTCTTCCCATGTTTTTTGCACAGGGGAAATCCAAGACAGACCGAGGTTAAGAAGTGAGGAGCCCAAGTCCCAAGTTTGCTCAGCAGGTCAATTGCACTGTGAGGAAAGGAAGTCCAGCCCTTTCAAACCATATAACCCATCCTGACTAGTGAACGGCATCTCCCTGAGTCCATATTCCCAACTTATAGGATTTCACTCTAGACCACTTCAGCTTTTGAAGACCTGAACGTTTGAATGAATTAGATATGGCTTTCCAATTAGAAGCATAGACGGTCTTGTCCCTCAAGGTTTCATTGTGAGGATACATGAAGGTAGTGATGCTGCTGAGCCCCTGGGACATAGGCCAGTCCTGGAGAGGAGGTAAACACCTCTGAACCAGCGGCATCCCTGAGTTTGGTGTGTTTGTCAAAATTAGTGGTTTGGATCAAGCTGTCCACAGTGTCATCCCATTTTATTGGTGACCACGAACATATACTACAGAAAAGTTATAAATTATGGAACTAGAGAAGGTGACAAGTGTTGGCCTTACACTGCTCTAGCTCTGTGTCACTTAATTCTTTCGGACCTCAACTGTGCCATCAGTAAAATGGGGGTCATGATGTTAACTCCTTTCCATGAATGCCCTTCATCGGAATCAAACTTGCAACCATACACTTGCCAGGTCCATGCACACGACAGCTGGGCTCCACAATCCAAGGACCAGATCTAGGTACAGACAGACCCGTGTTTTGGAGCTTTGCATTCTTTCTCCTCTACCTTTCTTCTCTGGCTGCATTCCATGTGACCTTTGGGAGACCTCATACCTCACTGTCTTTCTGTTCTCATTGAACAGAGTGCACTACCTGTGTGCTTCCAGTATGGTGCCTTCTGGCAATCCACTTGAAGATACGATCTTCTTTTAGTTGAAATCTTAATACTCCATGTGAAGAACAAGGACAGTATAACTCACAGATCTGAACCACTACATATGATACCTTTTCTATAACCCATATTTTAAATATATGTATTAATTTGTAACACAAACATTTGAACATTTCAAATAACGTTGGGCTGTAAAAAGCGGGCATTGATCATTGTGACCCCAATGATGAGAAACATTCATCAAAGGAAGAAGGAATTCCTTTCTTTCTTTCTTTCTTTCTTTGAGGCAGGGTCTCACTCAGTTGCCCAGGCTGGAGTGCAGTGTCATGATCTCGACTCACTGCAACCTCCATTTCCCTGTTTCAGGTGATCCTCCCACCTCAGCCTCCCAAGTGGCTGGGATCATTGGAGTGCACCACCACATCTGGCTATTTTTTTTTTTTTTTTGGTATTTTAGTAGAGACAGGGTTTTACTATGCTGCCCAGGCTGGTCTCGAACGCCTGACCTCAAGTGATCCACCTGTCTCGGACTCCCAAAGTGTTGGGATTACAGGCATGAGCCACCTTGCCCAGCCAGGAAGAAGGAACTCTGCCCAAGCACATTTTTGGTTTTGTCCAATTATGTTATATACACGGTCATTGTTATGAAGCAGAAAAGCCACCAGGCATCTCTTTACCTCCTGAGCAAATATTCTAAATAGTTGAGAGTTTGTGGTACATAAAAAGAAGCTTTCTCTCATGCTAACATTTTCAAAACAAATTGTGACTTCTGAAAGTAAAAACCAAAGAAAGAACAACTTGAACAAGATTTCAGTGGGCAGAAAATAAACACTAACTTTATATGTATTTCAAGAATGTGAAAGACACAGGTGGGAAATGAATCCTCCTCGATAAGAGAGAAATGCTTAGTAGGGTGGAAAAAAAAAAAAAAGAAAACATTCAGCAGTTTTTGGAACTGTGCAAGTCCAGAGAGTTTCTTTTTTTTTTTTTCTGGTTAGCTCTCCTAGCCACAAATATGTATATTATTTCCTTCTTGCCCACAATTTACTGAGAATCATCTTTCTAATATACTGGGGAATCCCAAATAAAAATCTCATTTTTCTAAACACAGACAAGTCTGTTAACTCCTGCAATTAAGTGATTCAATTATTCATACGTAAAAGAAATAATCAAATTGTTCTAGTAGAAATCTCCAACGGCCATCTCAAATAGTTTCCTTCCCAAATTTACACTGTCAACGGCTTAGGTTTAGGGAGGGGTTTTGCCCTAGTCACTGATGTTTTGAAATAGGACTCAGAAACCTCTTTCATAAAGTCTCTCTGGTGCTTAGGCTACCCTAGCTATGCGATACAGTGGTAGGATTACAGAATATTTTAACCCTTTCTGAATGTTGCATTATATTGTTATATGGGAAATGATTATTAACTACTTAGCATATGTTTCTTTTCCAAGCATGTCAGCAGAGTGAGCACAGCAGACTTCATAGGTGGTCAGTGTAGTGTCCGGTGTGAGCAATAGGGACCGGAGCTGGTCTGCCCAGATTCAAAGTGGGTCCTCTGCTCTGCGCTTTCCTACCCAGGCTTTGCTTTCTTTTTTTTTAATTGCACTTTGAATTTTGGGGTACATGTGCAGGACATGCAAGATAGTTGCATAGGTACACACATGGTAGTGTGATTTGCTGTCTTCCTCCCTTTCACCCACATCTGGCATTTCTCCCCCTGCTATCCCTTCCCAGCTCCCCCGCCCACCGGCTGTCCCTCCCCTGTTCCCCCCAATAGACCCCAGTGTGTAGTGCTCCCCTCCCTGTGTCCATGTGTTCTCACTGGAGCTCCTTTTGCTCATCTGCTAAGTGCCATGTATCACAGCATTTTCCTCACAGGGCTACTGTGAGCTTTAAATGCATTTATGAGTTAAGTGCTCATAACAGTGCCAGGTATGTAATAAACACGGTGTAACAGGCAGCTACATGACGCACAAACAAAGGCAAACTGTGTGCATCTGAGGAATGACTCTGGTTAGCATTAAAGTGTGTCTTTGTGTATAGAGTTGGTGTCTGTTGTCTGTGCATTCACTTTTTAAAAATCAGAAAATAGCAGATGTAGGAAGCTATTTATTTTGCCTGCTTTTCTTCTGCTTTCTGCCTGCTACCTCCTATACTCTAGTTCCACAGCTGATCTGTTTCTCTGCACAGCATTACTCCTATGCACAACCTATGCAGAACTGACCCCATCAAATTTGCATAGGTGTATTAGTCC